CGGTAGTAGGCCGGTGCAGATTGCTGGAGTTGTAGCAATCTGCGGCAGAATTTCGGTAGGTAGGGTGTCGCGGTCGATACCGTGACAGTACCCCCCTCCTAAACCCAAGTCTCTTGGCGAGTAGGAGGCGCTGTTCGTGATGTGTACGGCTATTTGTCGGGAGTAGGGCCGTGAATCGAATCTTGATTAAGGTTTCAGGGTCCAGCAGGACGGGGCTTATCGGACGCAGGATCGTGAGCTTCGGGGTGGCGGCGATGATAATCAGCCGCAGCAGTAGTGTCCTTCAGGTTGTCAACGGGTTGCCAGGACAGGTCGTCGTATCCAGTCTATCGGACTAAGTACTTGTATTGCTTTCGGCGCCAGTTCAGGCGCATGCCTTCAATACGGTCGATATACCATTCAGTCTCTTCTTTAACTTAAATAGGTTCAGGTGGGGGCGACTCCTAGCCAGGCAGGTAGTCAGCTTGCGGAGCGGCAGGACGGAGTAACAAGATATAGAAGACAGGATGTATCTTCATAGATTTAGGTAGGCCTAGTTAATAGGCGTACGGAGAAACAATCTGTGTAATCGGGAACTTCCCTAGGTTCTTCCAATCGAGCTTCTTAGCGGGTCGATTTGTACGGATATTCCGTGCATTTAACCAGACTTTATTACCTACTTTATAGGCCGGTGCGCCTATATATTTTCAGTTAGCGTATTCTTCTTATATTACTTAGGCCTAAGTTATCTTTTCGCGGATAAACTGCTTAATATCTAATATTTTATTAACTATTTAATTAGCCTTAAGTGCTTACAGTGCTTAATAGGCAGGGCGCGGAGTTCCTAATAGCAGTTTAAAGCCTATTTTTAGGTGTTATCCTAAGATAGTAACAAATAGTATTACTATTATTAATTTAGATTAGGTGTTATTTACCTTAAACTAAGCGGACGGCAGCTAGGTAACCTAGTTATCTTACTTATAGTTTATATTAGGTAATCCGTAATATACCTAAATATATTAGTAGAATAGGTTAGCTATAGCCTTAGCCGTGATTATTTTACAGGGAATTATATATTAGTACTTGCTTAGGCGGTCTACTATAACTATAATATTAGTGCAGCCTTTAGATTTAGGTAGTTTAATAATAAAGTTAATAGAAATATCTTGCTAGTAATACTGCAGGATAGGCAGGGGTTTTAGGAAGCTATTATACTTTTTTCTTAAAGCCTTTATACAGTAATAGGTGTAATAGTATACTATAAATTAGCGGATTATTTTAAATATATATAGCTAGTAGTATTCTTTTTAGAGGATTTCTAGAGTCTTTCTATATCTAGGGTGGCCGCTAATAGGGGAATTATGCATATAATAAAGCAGTTTAATCTTTAGTTTATTATTATTAGGAATTACTATTTAGTTGTAGAAGTAGAGCTTGCTATTTTACTTTTTATATTTGCTTAGGGTAATTTTCTTAGAGCGGCGTACTCTAGAGCATAATATCTCCAAGACTTCCTAGATAAACTTATTATTTAGGTATTTATCCTTAATAATCTCCTAAATTATTTAGTTAGTTTCTGTTAGATTTAACTATATAAATAGGTTAGAATAGAGTAGTATCTAATTTTAGGCTGCTTAAGCTTCTTTTTACACAGGCGTATCTTACGTACAACGCGTTAAGGCGTTAGGCTTCTTACTATACTTGCCAGGTTAGTAGGTAATTAAGAAGTTAAATTAGGACAGGTATTTAGACTAATAAGCCTATTAGTAGCTTAACTGCTTTATAGTTATAAAGTACTGCAGGTTTTTATAGTTACTAAAAACCTAAATTAGAAATACTGCGCCTTCTAGTTTAGGCCGCCACTATTTAAAGTATTGGATAATTGCTAGGAGTTCCTTATTATAGATCTTATAGTTATATTTAGCAGGACTTAATTATTTTAAAAAGTAGGCTATAGGTCGGAGTATTCCTTATTTATCTATTTATAAGAGCACTCTAGTATTTATATAGTCGGATAAATTAGCCTTAATAATAATTAGCAGTTTAGGGTTAAAATAATAGAGGATTAGGGCGGTGGTAAACGCTGTCTTAAGTTGTTTAAATACCGCACAGCAGGACTTATTAAACCGGAACAGAATATCCTTCTTTATAAGTATAATTAGGGAAGCGGCCAGGCCAGAGAAATTGTTAATAAATTATCGGTAGAAGTTTATAAATCTAATAAAGGCTCGTACGTCCTTAATATTATAGGGGACTTCCTAGTTATAGATATCCTTAATCTTGTTTAGGTCTATACTAATTCCGCCGGTTAATATTATATACCCTAGGTAGGTAACCTTATTCTAATAGAATTTACACTTATTAATATTTAGTTATAGGCCGGCGGCTTTTATTACTTCTAGGACTAGCTTTATATAATACTAGTAGTTTTTAAAGTTTTTGCTATATATTAGAATATTATTAATATATGCGGTATAGAATATATCTAGGTACAGGCGGAG